TGTTTTTTGAGTGTTGACCTTATATCCACCTACTCTACTGAATCTGTCAATTAAGTCTAGAAGTCTTTTGGCAGAGTTTTTTGGGTCTTCTATGTAAAGCATCATATCATCAGCAAATAATGACAGTTTCACTTCTTCCTTTCCTATCTTTATTGCTTTTATTTCTTTCTCTTTTCTAATTGCTGTGGGTAATGTTTCCAGAACTATATTGAATAGGAGTGGTAAAAGTGGGCATCCTTGTCTTGGTCCTGATTTTAGCGTGAAGGTTTTCAGTTTTTGACCATTTAGTATGATGTTGGCTGTTGGTTTTTCATAGATAGCTTTAATCAGGTTGAGATAAAAACCTTCTATTCCAAATTTCTGTAGGGTTTTTACCACGAATGGGTGTTGGATTTTGTCAAATGCCTTTTCTGCATCTATTGAGATGATCATATGGTTTTTGTCCTTGGCTCTGTTAATATAGTGTTTAACATTTATTGATTTATGTATGTGGAAACATCCTTGCATCCCTGGGATAAATCCGACTTAGTCAGTGTATATGATCTTCTTGATGACCCTCTGTATTCTGTTTGCCAGTATCTTGTTGAGGATTTTTACATCTATGCTCATTAGGGACATTGGCCTGTCATTCTCTTTTTGGGTTGGGGCTTTCTCTGGTTTTGGAATCAAAGTAACACTTGCTTCCAGGAATGAATTTGGAAGTATTGCTTCTCTTTCAATTTCCTTGATGAGTTTAAAGAGTAATGGCAACAGTTCTTCTTTACATGTCTTGTAGAATTCAGCTGTGAAGCCATCAGGACCTGGGATTTTCTTTATTGGTAAATTTTTTATTACATTTTCAATATCACTCATTGTAACTGGGGTGTTTAGAATTTTTATATCTTCTTCATTTAACTTTGGAAATTTGTATGCATCTAGGCATCTGTCCATTTCTTCTGTGTTTTCCATTTTATTACAGTACAAGTTCTTAGAGTAGGTATTGATGATCCTCTGGATTTCTGTTGGATCTGTTGTGACTTCACCTTTTTCATTCTGAATTGCATGGATTTGAGCCTTTTATTTCCTTTTTCTGATAAGGTTGGTTAAAGATATATCAATTTTATTTATTCTTTCAAAAAACCAACTCTTTGATTCATTGATTTTTTTGTATCATTCTCTTAGTCTCCATTGCATTGATTTCTGCTCTGATCTTTATAATTTCCTCTCTTGTA